ATCGGGTTCTCAAATCGATGTTTCGTTTTTTTATACAATATTTAGAACGGAAACATAACCTATGAGGTTAAACGATCTGTCTACGTGGATTCACTCCACGCGTGTAGCCTACAATTACGCGAACTTTCTAAGACCAGTGGGGCAAATACCTTTTGCGGACCGAACGTTTACTAACCAATTGTAAGTGAGCGAGGTGTCTGTAATACACGCGTGGTTTATTTTTTTTACTTAAATACTTCGTTTAGAGATTATGTATATTTCGGTAGTCTTTACCGAATGCACAACGAGAGAGTGAGATAAATACCTTCCTCAATCCACTGCTGGATGAAATACGATTTGACAATCACCACCACATGACCGAACCGGTCACGTGGTGGTGGTTGTTTGACCATACTTCACCACGCTCGTTAGTGCAGGCTGGTGAAGCGAGCAGCACCAAAACCAGTTCAAATATCACTCACCACTGACGGTTGGCGATTGCCTGGAATCGAACTCATAGCACCGGTGCCTTCATGAGCACACACATACGTAATAAATAGATTGTAAACGGTAGAGTCTGCCTTCTCTTACACATTACGTTGGCAATATTTAGTCAATCGCTAATACGTGCTAATTAAATATCTTAGTTTGTGATCACGTATAAGTGTAACGAGCACATTTTTGTGCCCAGTTATTTAATTATTAACATTATTCCTGACCCCCACCCCGTTATTCCGGCTTCGAGAGTTTTGTTTTGGTGCCTGAATTCCATGCGCAAAACACGTGGGATACCAATCGATTCTCGCGCTCACAATACACACGTGGGGTATTGGTCACGGTTCCATTAAAACAAATACTGCTGCTAGTCCCTACGGGAGGGTCTCATCAGCGAGAAAGAGAGAGAGCGAGTGAGAGAGAGAGTTCGTGTGGTTTCGCTGTTCCTCCTCCACCTGTCGAATGAGCGCAGACTGACACCGTGGCTCGACCGGTCTGACCAGCAGCTTGGGGTCACACGGCCACAGACGCAACTCCTAAATGCGCGTAGTGCCGCATCGCCCCCTAGCGAAAGCAACCGATTCTGGGCTGCGCGTGGTATGACAATCCAGGATTTCCCGAACTCCAAGCCCTCGTGAATAGATCGTTCAATCTCAATCTTAATGCGAATCGGCTCTCGATGAACGCAGGCATCGATGATTGTATTGCTTGGCGCGTCAAGCGGGACGTAGTTTAACAATCATTGGGCGCCCGCAGCGTGGAACGGATTAATTTGTATTTGAATGGGGGGAGGAGGAGGGGGGGTAAATGTGTAAACGCGGAAAGAAGGGAGCGTGGTGTTTGGGGGGGGGGGCAAGCAGAGCCGGCCCAGCCACTAAGCGACCCTTGCAATTGCAAAGGGCCCCGTGGCCAGCATAGGGCCCCCTAGAGTCACTGCTAGCTGGTGGGTGAAAAAAATCATACATCAAAGGGGCCTCCAACCAAATTTGCTTAGGGCCCCCAAAGGTCTAGGGCCGGTTCTGGGGGTAAGCACTGGAGTTTGGGAAAGCCTGGACCCGAAATTATTCTCGTCGGCTGGGCCAGGGGTCGGCAACCAAAACACAAACAAGAAGGGACATTTTGTTCGAATTCAGTAAGAAAAAAACACCACCCATCAATACTCCGAGCGCTGCAATGCACGTGAGGGCAATGCACGTGAGCACAAGGGGGTCCTCAAAAGCGTCAATTGATTTTTTTTTTCTGTAAAGCCCCGATGTTTAAGAACAGCGCACGCAACAGTGATTTGTAATGCCGCATTACAAATCACTGTCGGGCATTGAAGCCTTCAGCGTTCATCGAATATAATTTGGAGGGGTTCGGTTTGTGTGTGTGTGTTTTTATCAATTTGTAATGAGAGTGTCGGGAACTCCTAACGAGTCAAGAGCCGCATGCGGCTCCTGAGAGACAGATTGCCGACTCCCCGTGCGAGGCCGTCCGCTTTGACGGTCCCCTCTTTCAGAACCGCTCGAGTCTCAAAAGAATCGAGCCAAGACTAAGACCTGGATTTTGAACGCCCCCTGTTGTCACGCTGCGTGCGGAAGGCTACTTATGTTGCGTTGCATTTGTTTTTTCTCTCTCTCCTTAAATCATGTTCCAAGTGTACCGCCGGGTGCTACGTTGTCGAGAGACGAAGGCACGTCCATTTGGAACCCTTCCGGAAGGTGCCGCACAGTCGAGCAGTGCCGGATAAAGCGAGTGCGGGGCCTGTAACATATGATGTTATTAAGGGGCTCTAAATAAAAAAGAAAACGTAAATATTAAAACACAAATTTGTAACTTGCTTTTTAAAGTAATTGTATTTATTCATTTGCTATACGGCTAGATAATACGACAAATCGCTAACCTTAAACACTCGGTCGTTCATGAAAGTTGAAGGCAGTCTAGTACTATAGTTATTGGGCAAGTGCAGAATTGATAGCTTGAAAGCATTTAGCGCGGGAGCCTTGAAAGTGTCGCATATGTAGCTACTTTTGCTACGAGGATCACCGGGCACTGCAGCCCCGTGTCGCTGTTCGTCACGTGGCGATCTTAACCAAACGTCTGTTCAGTATTTTACACCAAAGATTCGCCCGATGAAATGAACATCGAATGTAACATCGTGCCTTTATTTCGTGCAGTTCTCAGCGACAAGGCTGAGGATCGTAAAATCACTGCACTTGGGAATCCGGTTTTTAAATAATAATAAAAAAAAATTGCGGCTGGAATAAGAAGAATCAAGGTTCAGGATCTGAGTAGGGCCTGCCTGGCATCTCCGACACGGCCATCACGGACAGCATCTTTGGAGGCACCATGTCACCCGAAATCTTACTTTCCTATTCGAAGATAAATACATCTAGCAATGAAATAAATATGAAGACGGACATTAATGCTGAGGCGCAACAACTCAGCACCACAGTGATCGTCAACGCAGCGTATAAAATGAGCACCAAGACACGAACTAGATTCAGTGCGCTTTGCTCGCTCAGACTCGGCTGAACGTTCAACAATGCCACGATGGGAATTCAAGGACCCCCCCCCCCCCCCCAATCAGAGCAACGTGGAATTTCCACCTCTTGCTCAGAACCAGCAGCAAATATGAGCACCAACTATGACTCTGTTAAGAAAACTGCTCTCATATAAAACGAGCAGCTGCATGGATGACGAAACGCCTCCCAATGTGCGTTCATCGTCGGAGGGATTCGATTCAATGCACGGATGATTTCACTGGTCAATACACTTTTTCTGGCATGAGGTATTCCAATGGGTTTAAAGTAATTTTGGGGTGCTGATTCCAAATCTGGCATCAGTTTTTGTCTATCACATCAAGTTTTTTAGATATAAAATATTGCATTTTCAATAAAAACTGCAGAAGAAAAATATTAAATAAATGTGGATATCTACATAAAATGATATTATAAACACACTATCCTAAAAATACAGCACCATATTTTAACACTAAAGCAGTCACTGACTCGCAACAACTTGCAATCATAAGTGACAGAGTTAATTTCGGGTAAAATCAATGAAAATGGGGTATGCCGATAGCATAAAAATGAGATGTGATAGAGCACATCTGAGATCCGATTTGGAATCAGCACCCTGAAATTAGTCTAAAGCAGCTGCAAAAGTCCAGGGCAGAAAAAAATGTTTTTTGTTGTTGTTGACCAGTGTTATTTAGGACGCGGAAACGTCCGGATTTAGCCAGTTACCCCAGCGAGTTCACGAGGGATATCCGCTGTGAATCGGCCGTTCAGATGCTGATGGGTGGTCTTTGGTAGGGCTAATACAACCGGTGGTTCTCTAGTAGGGCTAAGACAACCGGTGGTTCTCTGGTAGAACTAAGACAACCGGTGGTTCTCTGGTAGGGCTAAAACAACCGGTGGGTCTCTGGTAGGGCTAAGACAACCGGTGGTTCTCTGGTAGAACTAAGACAACCGGTGGTTCTCTGGTAGGGTTAAGACAACCGGTGGTTCTCTGGTAGGACTAAGACAACCGGTGGTTCTCTGGTAGGGCTAAGACAACCGGTGGTTCTCTGGTAGGACTAAGACAACCGGTGGTTCTCTGGTAGGGCTAAGACAACCGGTGGTTCTCTGGTAGGACTAAGACAACCGGTGGGTCTCTGGTAGGGACTAAGACAACCGGTGGTTCTCTGGTAGGACTAAGACAACCGGTGGTTCTCTGGTAGGACTAAGACAACCGGTGGTTCTCTGGTAGGACTAAGACAACCGGTGGTTCTCTGGTAGGACTAAGACAACCGGTGGTTCTCTGGTAGGGCTAAGACAACCGGTGGTTCTCTGGTAGGACTAAGACAACCGGTGGTTCTCTGGTAGGACTAAGACAACCGGTGGTTCTCTGGTAGGACTAAGACAACCGGTGGTTCTCTGGTAGGGCTAAGACAACCGGTGGTTCTCTGGTAGGACTAAGACAACCGGTGGTTCTCTGGTAGGACTAAGACAACCGGTGGTTCTCTGTAGGACTAAGACAACCGGTGGGTCTCTGTAGGACTAAGACAACACGGTGGTTCTCTGGTAGGACTAAGACAACCGGTGGTCTCTAGGAAAACGGTGGTAGGATAAGACAACCGGTGGTTAAACGGTGGTCCTCTGGTAGGACTAAGACAACCGGTGGTTCTCTGGTAGGGACTAAGACAAACCGGTGGGTCTCTGGTAGGTAGGGCTAAGAACAAACCGGTGGGTCTCGTGGTAGGGACTAAGACTAACCTGTGGGTTCTCTGGTAGGACTAAGACCAAACGGTGGTTCTCTGGTAGGACTAAGAAAACCGGGGTCTCTGGTAGGACTAAGACAAACGGGGTTCTCTGTAGGGCTAAGACAACCGGTGGTTCTGGTAGGACTAAGAACAACGGTGGTTCTCGTAGGATAAGAAGACCGGTGGTTCTCTGGTATGACTAACGACAACCGGTGGTTCTCTGGTAGGACTACAGGCCAAACGGTGGTCTCTGGAGGACTAAGGACAACCGGGGTTCTCTGGTAGGACTAAGACAAAACGGTGGTTCTCTGGTAGGACTAAGACAACCGGTGGTTCTCTCGTAGGGCTAAGACAACCGGCAGCTTTCTTCGGCTGGACTAAGACGGGGCCGTCTTGGCGACGACGCAGGTGCAGGCGAGCGGCACGTCCACCCAGCGTCGCTCGTAGTCGTAGAGGCGCGACGCGGGGTCGCAGGCGCGCCGGTAGAGGGCGCGCATGCGGTACACGACGGGCACAGAGACGAGGGAGCGCTCGAACGCCCCTTTGCCCGGCTCCACGCAGCCCGAGCAGAGGCACTCGGCCATGGCGATGCGCGAAGGGTAGCGGTTCGGGTCGTGGTCCACGCTGAGCGATGGAAGAGGCGCAGGGAGGGAAGGAGGAAGGGAGGGAGGGGAGAGATTGAGGCATGCGGAGAGAGGTGCGGAGGAACGGAGATGATGCGGTCTCTTTTTGCGTTACGTTAATTGGTTACGAGGCGATTAATGTATTACGGGGAACGCGTTGTTTTGTTTAAATATATAAAAAAGCGGATGCGAATTGGATGCAATGCGGTCGAGCGAACGTAGTAGCTACGTCGCGCGAGTAGGAACAAGCGGTCGTACGGCCTGCCTTGGCGTGGCGTCATCACGCGAAGTCGTTGGGATGCTGCTGGATGTTTCTAGATGTTAACCCACGTGCCACAGTCTTCGTCCAGCCTGCGTTACGCATCTATATTATTATTTATGATAACGACGTTGACTTATGAGAATGACATGCTTCGTCAGGAACGCAACAACCGCCGCGTTATAGGAGAACAGACGGGCACAGATTCCACCGGTGCCCGCGGTTTATCATGATACACCAGACGAGGTAGTAAACATCTCCTAGCCACAGTGATGATGATGAGAGAGAGAGACACGCAAACTCCAAATATACAGCAGGTGTCAGGGCTGGGATCGAACCCACGACCTCCTGTACACCAGGCGAAGTAGTTAACATCTCCTAGCCACAGTGATGATGATGAGAGAGAGAGAGACACGCAAACTCCAAATATACAGCAGGTGTCAGGGTTGGGATCGAGCCAACGACCTCCTGTACACCAGGCGAGGTAGTTAACATCTCCTAGCCACCGAGATGATGATGATGATGTTGAGAGAGAGAGACATGCAAACTCCAAATATACAGCAGGCGTCAGGGTCGGGATCGAGCCCACGACCTCCTGTACACCAGGCGAGGTAGTTAACATCTCCTTAGCCACAGTGATGATGATGAGAGAGAGAGAGACACGCAAACTCCAAATATACAGCAGGTGTCAGGGTTGGGATCGAGCCAACGACCTCCTGTACACCAGGCGAGGTAATTAACATCTCCTAGCCACCGAGATGATGATGATGATGTTGAGAGAGAGAGACATGCAAACTCCAAATATGCAGCAGGTGTCAAGGTCGGGATCGAGCCCACGACCTCCTGTACACCACGCGAGGTAGTTAACATCTCCTAGCCACCGTGATGATGATGAAAGAGTGAGAGAGAGATACGCAAACTCCAAATACACAGCAGCAAGCGTCAGGGTCGGAATCGAGCCCACGACCTCCTGTACACCAGGCGAGGTAGTTAACATCTCCGAGCCACCGTGATGATGATGAGAGAGTGAGAGAGAGACACGCAAACTCCAAATACACAGCAGCAGGTGTCAGGGTCGGGATCGAGCCCACGACCTCCTGTACACCAGGCGACGTAGTTAACATCTCGGCTAAACTTTGCTCACCGGATAGTCCACGGTGCCAGCGCCCTGGCCTCCAGCTCGGTGGAGGCGACGAGCCCTTGCCACGAGGGGCAACGCGAGCCGCTCCCGTTCCTGCCCGCAACTCCGTGCGCGCGTCCGGCGAACCTGCCCCCGGCGGTGAGCGGCGCGTCTGAGCGCGCGGCCTCGGCTTCGCTCAGCCGCTCCACGAGGTGTTCGTTGAGCAGCGCGCGACGCCGTGAGCCTCGGCAGCCGTGCAACTCGCGTCTCAGGAAACTCTCGGAGCGGTCGCGGCACGCGGAGGCGCGGGGCGATGCCCTGGCGTGGCCAGGCGGGCGGCTACGCGCCTCTGCGGGCACCGTCGACGCCGTGGTCGCGATGATGATGATGAGGACGGCGGCGAGCAGAAGTCGAGGAAGCCGCGGAGGTCCGCTGGTGCGGAGGGGGGTGCGTGTCTGTGGACGGCGAAGTTTGTGATGAAACACAACAACAGCAACAGCAACAAAAATGTCACGAGCGAATGAGATTAAATGTGGCTTGGGTCTAACGTTAGGAGTCAGCGTCGCATGAGAACGTGTTGGCCGTGTGAATCGTTCAATTGGTTTCTGATGTATCGATCGAGGTGATGTCGCCTACACGCACATCCACACGGAGGCAGGGCGGGCGTGTCAAGCGTTGTCAAGACGAGAATCAGGATGTTGTATTTGTACTGCAGGAGGAATCCCATGAGCTGTGAAGCTCTTTATCACAAATGTCCAGGAGGGGTACGGGGTCAGAACGTTACAACAACTAATACAAACACACGTTGGGACTGCAGCGTATAGGAAAGGTAAATAAATTACGTTTTAAAAATAAAAATTACGTGTAAAACGAAACAATGTGTTATTATATATTTACGCGATCTAACGCCTCCAAAAAACCCCTCTATTATGGCAGATAACAATGATTGTAATAATGTATTTATTTATCTATGTATCTATGTATCTACGTATCTATTTATGTATGTATCTATGTATCCAGGAGAACCGCACTGAGTGGCAGGGCTCATTGGTATTTATTTATTTAGTTAGAGGCGTTGTCAGCCACAACGTGGGAAGAGTCAGAGAGGAGAAACCGAAGGTGAACCCGGAGAAAATCCACGCGACGATCGTCGTCCACACGTCGCTGCTGTTGCTGCCTTCTGCTGGCGAGGCAGGGCACGGCACCCCATCGACGCTCAGCCCACGTGAACAAGGGGAGTTTCGCAACTATTTCATTCTTTTTTTTTTACCAGGTAAGCTATGTAGCTCTTTTTCAGAAGCGACCTGGCCACAAACGACAGCTCGACGAAGCGACTTCTCATCGTGTGGATATTTAGAGCAGCCAGGTCCTCTGCGCACTGCGTGATGTCGATACCAAATGTGGGAAAACCGGAGGACCCGGAGAAAAAATTCCACGCGGCCACGGGGAGAAAACGCAAACTCCAAATATACAGGAGGTGTCAGGGTAAAGATCGAACCCACGCCCTCCTGCATAACAGACAAGGTAGTCAACATCTCCTAGCCACCGCGATAATGATGAGAGAGAGACATGCACACTCCAAACATACAGCAGGTGTCATGGTCGAGATCGAACCCACGCCCTCCTGCATACCAGACAAGGTAGTCAACATCTCCTAGCCACCGTGATGATGATGAGAGAGAGAGAAACGCAAACTCCAAACATACAGCAGGTGTCAGGGTCGGGATCGAACCCACGACCTCCTTCATACCAGGCGAGGTTGTCAACATCTCCTAGCCACCGTGATGATGATGAGAGAGAGAGAGAGACATGCACACTCCAAACATACAGCAGGCGTCAAGGTCGGGATCGAACCCACGCCCTCCTGCATACCAGGCGAGGTAGTCAACATCTCCGAGCCATCGTGATGATGATGAGAGAGAGAAACACACACACTCCAAATATACAGTAGATGTCAGGGTTGGGATCGAACCCACGTCCTCCTGCATACCAAGCGAGGTAGTTAACATCTCCTAGCCACCGTGATGATGATGAGAGAGAGAGACACGCAAACTCCAAATATACAGCAGGTGTCAGGGTCGGGATCGAACCCACGCTCTCCTGCATACCAGGCGAGATAGTCAACATCTCCTAGCCACCGTGATGATGATGAGAGAGAAAGACATGAAAACTCCAAATATACAGCAGTTGTCAGGGTCGGGATCGAACCCACGCTCTCCTGCATACCAGGCGAGGTAGTTGACATCTCCTAGCCACCGTGATGATGATGAGAGAGAGAGACATGAAAACTCCAAATATACAGCAGTTGTCAGGGTCGGGATCGAACCCACGCTCTCCTGCATACCAGGCGAGATAGTCAACATCTAGCCACCGTGATGATGATGAGAGAGAGAGACATGAAAACTCCAAATATACAGCAGGTGCCAGGGTCGGGATCGAATCCACGCTCTCCTGCATACCAGGCGAGGTAGTTGACATCTCCTAGCCACCGTGGCGCCCACAAAAAGATGAGTTACGCTGATCAACCAACCCTCGCTTCTGTCTCCACCACAGTGTTGGATTACAAGCGGCAGCCGCGTGCAGAGCCACCGCACAGAGCACACAAAGTGGCGGTGACGTCACCACGGCGCCTGTGCCAGGCCAGGTGCACTCTGAGGCCACGTGAAGTGTCGAACGCCCGCTGGCAGGAGGTAACGGGGCAGACGCAGGTGCCGTGGGTTGACTGACTAAAATGCCTGGCAGATGCACACCAGCTGTGGCACCACCTTTCCGTACAAGCGCACAACACACACGCACACCACACTCGCAGAGCGCTCCAAATACGATCTCACCTCTGCCATGGGAGAACGATCCAGGGGATGGCGGAATTCTTCTCGGAGACTTTGTCGTGCGAGTCTCGTCTCTGTCCTCACGTCTCAACTCTGATTGTTGATCCGCGGCGCTCCGCGTGTTTTATAGCTCGCGCTACGGCGGGCGAACATATCCGCCCGCCCACTCACTCATCGACTCAATCCTCTTGGCCCTCTTTGCTTTAGCCCCAGCCACACACGCATACCACGTGGCTCGCGCCACAACAACAACACAAAATATCCACGACGCCCAAGGTCGTGGTTGGCCGGCTGCAAATTCACCAACGCGATTTGTAATTTCCAGCCCCGCCTGCTTTTTTTCTGCTTTCCTGCTTGCTGCTGCTGCTGGGGTCACGGGGAAGAGGCGTGGGTCATAAAAAAAATCCCACCACCACCCACCCCCCCACCCCCCCGTGGTATGAGACCCACATTGAGATAAAAAATACCCCAAAGAGAATATTTTTGTTTGTTTTACAAACAAAACTAAAATATCTAACGGGAATTTTGACTTGTTCCTGAACTTGACTGCGAAGATATCGCAAGCGTTCAAGTATGCGCTTGATGTCACTCGAGGCTTCCTAGTTTCAGAAGCATAGCGAACACACACACAGACACAGACACGCGCGCGCGTGCACCCACGACACGCACGCGCGCGCGCGCGATCCGTGGGCTTTACCTCGGTATTTGCATAACGAGGAGGTAGGTTGCAAGTGGAGGTGTCGCCTCGTGACGTGGCCAAAAGGAAACGGTGGAGTGTGCGGGGGATACAAAGGGCACGCGGTGGGCTCCGGCTGAGTGTCCGCGTTTATTTTTGGTGCCGTGAAGTGAGAACGACTGCGTGGAGAAGGCGATGGGGGGTGGAGGGGCAGGAGGGGTTTTCTTGCGCGCAGTCGTAGGAACGACTCTTCGCCTGCACCACGGCGCAGACCTGATCGGGTGTAAGACGAGGAGTTGGCGTGGGTTTTGAGAGCGTGAGATGATGGGAGAGAACACGAGATGGACACGCAAAGAGACAGAGAGAGAGAGACAGCCAGACACGGAGGGAGACACACAGAGAGAGAGAGACACGGAGACACGCGGAGATAGACGCGGGGGAGATGTATGCGGGGAGACAGAGACGGAGATTCGGAGAGAGAGGGGAAGACAAGGCAGTTACAGAGACACAGAAAGAGAGAGACTAGCGGAGACAGACACGGGGACATGCAGAGAGACAGAGAGAAAGGCAGGGACATTGAGATCGTCACGAAGAGACAATAGGAGACATGCAAATACACTTCGATTACTACGGAGATAGCGAGACAGAACGGAGGGCGGACACGAACAGACGGAGAGACACGTGGAGAGAGACACACAGAGAGAGAGAGAGACAGAGAGTGAGAGATTACAAGGGAGACCTTGTCCTGATCTCGGGAGCTAAGCGGGGTTCACAGCCTGGTCGGCACTTGGACTGTGCGATCACCAGCCGCGGCTTGCCAGGTGCTGTAGGAGTTGGAGCCGCGAGGTTTGGCCGCTAGGTGGCAGTACGTCAGCGCGTGCCAATTCCTGCGATGTTTGCATTGGGTTGGGTCTCTCTCTGTGTGTGTGTGCGTCGAATCCATCTGTGCGGAGTTTCAGAGTGTCACTCGCTCGTGCGCGATGAGCGTCCCCCCCCCAAAAAAAAACTCACTTTCCTTCGCACCGTACGTAGCCAACCGTGCTAATCGCGCCAAACTATCGGGAGGCATCAGGATACGGGTGAAGTTTTTTTTCCCTGGCTAAATCCCACGATATACGTGCAGCCCCTTGAGTAATCCACTGCTGGATGAACAAACCATCCCCTCGCCTGAGCGCCTTGGAGATCCGCTTCACCATACTTCACCACGCTGCTCAGTACGGGCTGGTGAAGTTGAATGCCGCCGACTTGGGTCACGTGTTCATAGCCGTGGTACCAGAATCAACAACGCAATGCGCTAACCAATGCACCACCGCTCCACCGCCCTTGGTGAATAAGTGGCAAACTTTGTTGATTATTCCCAGGTGGTTAGATCACCTAAATGTGGGGATAATGAGTATTAACTCGTGTGAGTTGTGCATTATATTATTCTGCATCGAACTTGGACCCTTGTATTAAAGTGGTGGGTCCTTGTCGATAACATTTTGCGGGCTATACTCTTTGGTTCTTTCGGTAAAGTCACGTGGGTGATTTTTTATATACTAAGGCGAAACGTCATGATTTAATTTAGTGATTTCTATTTTTTCTTTTTATTCTCATTTTTTTTACCTACGTGACTTGACCGAAAGAACCAACGGGTATGCATTGTTTACATGTTCAACACACGTCCTGTGTGTGTGATTAATGCAGCAACACGATCACATGCGAAAGGTATCATCTAGTAGGTGCTCGACCATCTTAACACAACTCCTGTTTTATTGCCAGAAAGGGTAAAAAAAAAAACCCTATTCCTAATGGATCCTTGCAATCACGAAAACCTCAAATCTAAAATTGTGCGGGCTCACCACCGTTGATTCGAGCAAGCCTGACGGCTGATGAGACACTTGACGTTGAAACCGGTCAAGCGTTTGCTCGCACCGAATCAATGCCTGCTGAAACAATCAAAGCCGCGGGGCCAATCGATAGTGTGAAGAACACTTTAAAAAATATATTTTTACATTCATATTCTCGCTCACGGCCAACACCAGTGACGATAATTATTTGAACGGGTCGCAGGACCCGGTCCTGGCGAGATGATGTGCGGGCCAGGCGTGGTGCCAGCCACCCACCCACCCTCTCGTGCGCCGTGCCGGCCTTCATAGATGCTACTCGTTCACAGCACTTGTCCCCAACGATCTGTTCAAAGGCTACACGGGGTCATCTTTCTCTCTGTCGCATCACGGAGAGGCTCGGCACGGCGTAACGCGACGCGGAGGCTGATTTGCATCCAGACGCACCCCGCCCGCCCTGCGCGTGCGGCGCGTCGTCGCCGGCCCTCTGACCTCACCGCCGTTTTCTCTTTCCCCGTGGGAAACGGAGCAGAGGGCAACTCGAGATGCGCTCATAGGAAACCCACAAACATCCTCACATCGCCCCTCCCCCCGCCTCGCTCTGCCCACCCCCTCGTCCCGGTCTTTCACCTCGTTCTCCCCACCCTCTCCCCGCTCTCCCCTCGCTCTCACCACGCTCTCCCCAAGCTCTCCCCTCGCTCTCCCCCCGGTCTCCCCACGCTCTTCCCCCTCGCTCTCCCCACGCTCTCCCCTTCGCTCTCCATCCCCTCGCTCGTCCCTCGCTCTCCCCTCGCTCTCCTCCCTCGCTCTCCCTCCCTCGCTCTCCCCTCGCTCTCCCCTCGCTCTCCCCTCGCTCTCACCCTCGCTCTCCCCTCGCTCTCCCCTCGCTCCTCCTCGCTCTCCCTCGGCTCTCCCCTCCTCTCCCCTCGCTCTCCCCTCGCTCTCCCCTCGCTCTCCCCTCTCTCTCCCCTCGCTCTCCCCCGCTCTCCCCTCGCTCTCCCCACGCTCTCCCCTCGCTCTTCCCCACGCTCTCCCACGCTCTCCTCCCCTCGCTCTCCCCCTCGCTCTCCCCACGCTCTCTCAACGCTCTCCCTCCACTCTCCCCCCTCGCTCTCACCCCTCGCTCTCCCCCGCTCTCCCCAACGCTCTCCCCGCTCTCCCCCCTCCAATCTCTCCCCCCGCTCCTCCCCACCCTCTCCCCACCTCTCCCCACGCTCTCCCCACGCTCTCCCCACGCTCTCCCCACGCTCTCCCCACGCGCTCCCACGTCTCCCCACGCTCTCCCCACGCTCTCCCCACGCTCTCCCCACGCTCTCCCCACGCTCTCCCCACGCTCTCCCAACCTCCCTCGCTCTCCCCACGCTCTCCCCTCGCACTCCACCTCGCTCTCCCCACGCTCTCCCCACGCTCTCCCCACCCTCTCCCCCCGCTCTCCCCACGCTCTCCCCTCGCTCTCCCCACGCTCTCCCCACTCTCGCCCCGCGCTCTCCCCACGCCTCTCCCCTCGCACTCCCCCCGCTCTCCCCCAACGCTCTTCCCCACGCTCTCCCCACCTCTCCCCTCGCTCTCCCCTCTCTCTCCCCACGCTCGCCCCTCGCTCTCCCCCACGCTCTCCCCACGCTCTCCCCTCGCTCTCCCCTCGCTCTCCCCTCGCTCTCCCCACGCTCTCCCCCCTCGCTCTCCCACCCCACGCTCTCTCCCCACGCTCTCTCCCCACGCTCTCTCCCCACGCTCTCTCCCCACGCTCTCTCCCCACGCTCTCTCCCCACGCTCTCTCCCCACGCTCTCTCCCCACGCTCTCTCCCCACGCTCTCTCCCCACGCTCTCTCCCCACGCTCTCTCCCCCCGCTCTCTCCCCACGCTCTCTCCCCACGCTCTCTCCCCACGCTCTCTCCCCACGCTCTCTCCCCACGCTCTCTCCCCACGCTCTCTCCCCACGCTCTCCCCTCGCTCTCCCCACGCTCTCCCCTCGCTCTCCCCACGCTCTCTCCCCACGCTCTCTCCCCACGCTCTCTCCCCACGCTCTCTCCCCACGCTCTCCCCACGCTCTCCCCTCGCTCTCCCCACTCTCTCCCCTCTGCTCTCCCCACGCTCTCCCCACGCTCTCCCCTCGCTCTCTCCCCTCGCTCTCCCCTCGCTCTCCCCTCGCTCTCCCCACGCTCTCCCCACGCTCTCCCCACGCTCTCCCCACGCTCTCCCCTCGATCTCCCCACGCTCTCCCCCCTGCTCTCCCCCCTCTCTCCCCTCGGTCTCCCCACGCTCTCCCCACCCTCTCCCCTCGCTCTCCCCACGCTCTCCCCTCGCACTCCCCCCGCTCTCCCCACGCTCTCCCCGCGCTCTCCCCACCCTCTCCCCTCGCTCTCCCCACGCTCTCCCCTCGCTCTCCCCACGATCTCCCCTCGCTCTCCCCACGCTCTCCCCTCGCTTACCCCACGCTCTCCCCCCGCTCTCCCCACGCTCTCTCCCCACGCTCTCTCCCCACGCTCTCTCCCCACGCTCTCCCCACGCACTCTCCTCGCTCTCCCCACGCTCTCCCCTCGCTCTCTCCCCCCTCTCCCCTCGCTCTCCCCTCGCTCTCCCCA